TTAACTGCATGGGCCAAGTTCTGGACCCACTGGCTTGAAAACACACCGGGTGCATGCCCAAAATCCTGAGAGGAGAACAGAGGAGATGGCGTGGCCATCGCCCTGGGGTGATTTCTCACTTTCCCTCCCTTTCTCCCCAGGAGAGTACATGACCCTATAGGAAACGTAAAACAAATAAACAAACAAGCAAACCACGGAGGCCAAAGGAAATGAGGTGCCAGAGTTTGGTTTATTGGCTCATCCAGTATCACAGGTCCAAGGGCACCCTCTTTCCAAGGAACTGGGAGCCCCATGGCTCCTGCATCTCTTTCTTCTCGACATGTTTCTCCTGGCCCTGACTGAAGCCGTGGCAGAAGCTGGGACAGGGTGTGAGGTGGGGGCTGGGCTCTGACAGGGGTCTGCTCACATACAGCCCAGTCTGCTTGGCACAGGAAGGGGTCCCTGGGGCAAGAGGGCATGGGTCCCCAGGTGACCAGAAAGGAGCCAGCTCAGCAGGGGCCTCTACAGGGGGCCCTGAGGAGTGGGGGAATCCATCTAGGAGTGGGGCAGGAGTGGGGTGAGGTGAAAGGATCAGGGGCAGAGGAGGGATGAGAGAGAGCCCCCCTGGAGCCCACTCACTCATGGGCTGGGGTCCTCTGAGGCTCAGAGATGAGGAGGGAGGCTGAGAGGACAAAAGGACCAGCTGGCTATGGGACCGAGGTTGGGGTGACCACTGCAGGGAGAGTCCTATACTCCAACTCACCCAGCCCTAGACCCAGGAAGACACACACACTCACACTCACGCTCCTGGAACCCCACCTCTTTCAGTGCGCACATGTAGCACACGGCCCTCCCCACGCCAAGGAAGTGCCCAGCTGCAGCTCTAGCCTGGCCATCCTGGTCATCTTGGCGCCCCTAAGCCCTGCCTGCCCTTTGCTGCTGCAGCCCGGAGGCCCCTGCCCAGGTCCCCAAGGTCTTCCACAGTCACTCCCTTTCTCCCAGGTGCCTTCCTCGGGTCCATTCGTGCTGTGCCTGCCCCTCCCCACCCCACCCAGGGAGAGCAGCGTGGCACGTTTGGACCTCAGAGAAGGGGATGGCCGAGGTCTTTAGCAAGGCACTGGGTGGGCGGGGGCAGGGCTGGAGCGGGGAGAGTGGTGCAGGCTGAGGAGCCCTCCTCTCCCTGGGTGGCTCATCCTCAGGCCCTGGGTCCAGTCTCTACCTCAACCCCCACAGCTAGATCTCCCTCCTCTTTTCTAAGCCCCTTCCAGAAGCATGGCAGCTGGGCAGGCACGGAAACGGCCATGTGGGGCCCCAGGGGCCTGAGACAGCTGGGCTACGGGCACAGTGCGGAGCAGGGGCTGAGGTGAGGCCTTTCCTGAGGCTTCCTCCTCGCTCTGCAGCCTGTGGGGTGCTGGAGGACCTCAAGCTGAGTCACCCCCACCAGAGGCCTTCTTCTTGGGCCGGGTCTTCAGTGTCTTGGAAGCCACTGGCTGTGGAGGGGGGGGAGAAAAAACTCAGCCTGGAGCTCCCTGTCCCTCTGGATCCCCCAAGCTCAGGCGTGTGCTCTCACCTCAGCTTTGGGCACTTTTTTGATGGATTTGACCCTCTTGGGGGCCTTGTCTCCCATGTCATCCTCGCAGGTTTCTGTCCGGGGATCTGTCTGGTTTGTGCCAGATCTTAAACTCAGGGCCGGGTCATCTCCTGGGATGGGGAGGAGAGAACAGTGTCCAGGGGTCTCACCTTCCTGGCCTCATTGCCCTGGTGCCCCTGAGCCCTGGCTACTGTCCGTACCTAAGTCTTCAATGGTGTCCAGGAGGCTGCCAGGGCCGGGTCGGAGACGGCCGTCGGGCCCCTGCAGGGGTAGTGCATCCTCATCCCGGATCAGCGTCAGGTCCTGCATGCTGAAGCTTCGGAGCTTCTCTGACAGCACCCCCTGGCCCTAGGGTCACCACCACGCACCGGGAGAACCGGGGGAAGGGGCGGGGTGGAGATAGAGGTCACCATGGTGCTGGCAGCAACCCCCAAGACCATGCTCCCCCACACTCCTCACACAGTTCACCCCAGCACTGAGAGGCTGGGTCCACTGTCCCTTTGGACAGACGAGGAAACTGGCTGGACAGTGGAAGTGACTCAGCTGGAGAGCCACACAACCAGGACCGGGACCCTGAGCTGCATGAGGTGGACACCGAGGGGCCTGGCCAGGGGCCCCAAACAAACGAATCGGGGCGTTGGCAGTCTGGGCCTGCCCCCTTCTCACCTTGGCAGCAGCCGTGACTGCAGCATTGGCAGCCAGGTTCAGGCCCCGCTTGCCCACCCTCATCATGGTCTCATAGCTCTTGTCCCGGGCCTGTGTGATGTACTCGTCGATCTCCTGAGGAGTTGCAGGGGAAGGAGGAAGATGTGAGGGGGGATGTGGCCCTCAAGGCCTCACCTACCCTTGTTCACCCCCAGACAAAGGTACTGCCTGCTCCAGGAGGACATGGCTCTGCCAGGTCACGTCTGGCTCTGGGCACCCACAGGGGAGCCGGGAGTGTACATGGCTGCAGGCGCTAGACTGCCTTGGCCAGGAGCAGGCTGAAGCGAGCTGAGAATGGGGCGAACCTTCTCCTTGTTGGACAGCGTTGGGTGTACGAACTTGCGGTAGAGCACACTGGAGCCCTTGGTGTAAGGGGACAGCAGCCATATCACGAAGGCGATCTTGAGCTCAAAGTAGAACGGGAACCTGTCGAGTGGAGAGAGGCATGTGCCGGGCACAGGTAAGGAGTCGGTGCTGAGCTCCGCAGCACTGAGCCCTGCGTGAGTCTGCACAGTCCCTCCCCCCTTGGTGTCCCTTGGCTCATGGGACTGGTCATATCTAGTCCCAAGGGGGCTGGGAGGCTCAGCTGAGACCCTGGGTGGGAAGGTAAGAAGTGACCCCACAAGGCATTTCCACTAGCAGTGGCTCTCCATGTCCTGGCTCTCTCACTGCCTGAGAAGACCCCCCCCATTCCTCTGCCCAGGGGTCAACACCAGAGCAAGCTCCCTAACCTTCCAGGTCTATGCTGGGTCGTCGCCTCCTTCTCTTCCTGTCCTCCCTCAGAAAGAGCACTGGGGCTTCTCTAGCTCTGTTCTGGGTCCCATCCCTCACTGCCATGACACGCCCCTTGCTCCAAGGATTGCTGTTCATTCCTCATAGTTCCTCCTTCATAAACTTCTTCAGGTCCTGAGTCCTTACAAAGACCTCAGCAAAGCTCCTCCCTTTGCCTGTGTCAAGAGGCATCTACAGGGGGTTGGATAGTGGCACAGTGGCAAAATGCAGTAGTCTTCAAGGTGGATCCTCATGAGAAGACTCCCAGTTCAAGTCTGGAGACCTCCCAAGTACGCCAGGCACTCATGTGCCCGTGATCTGGACTGGCTGAAGCTGGGGGTACATTATGGCATTGAGATGCTGTTGGGGCTGCTATCTCCCTCTCACTTGTGGAATAAATAAATACACTTAAAAACAAAAAAAAGGCATTGGGCTGGGGCTGGAAGGTGGCATGGTGGTTATGGTGTTGGACTCCCACATTGCCAACTGCAGTTCAAGTTCTGGACCTGGTGGCTTGCTTTCTCACTTTCCCTTTCTCTCTCTGTCTCTGGTCAAATTAAAAGATAAATAACAACAACAACAACAACAAAAAAGATAAATAATAACAAATAAAATTAAATAATTATTTTTTAAAATATAGCAGATGGCGTAGCTGTTACATTGCTGATCTCCCACATGCCTGACTGCAGTTCGAGTCCCAGACCTGGTAGCTTGAAAATCGTACTGGGCATGTGTGTGTGTGTGTCCAAGACCCTGGGAGGAAAATGGAGGAGAGGAGGTTGAAGTTTGGCCATCTCTCTGAGGGATAATTCCTCACTTTCCCTCTCACTGTCCCTGTCTCTCTTTCTTTCCTGTGAGTACATGCACCCCAAGGCAAAAACTTCTTTTAAAAAAGGTATTGGGCCAGCCTGAGGCCTAGAGGTTAATGCTGTTGGATCCCACAAGGCTGACTATATGGTTTGAGTCTTGGACCCAGCAGCTTGAGAAACATGGGGGGGTGGAGGGATAATTCCTCACTTTCCCTCTCACTGTCCCTGTCTCTCTTTCTTTCCTGTGAGTACATGCACCCCAAGGCAAAAACTTCTTTTAAAAAAGGTATTGGGCCAGCCTGAGGCCTAGAGGTTAATGCTGTTGGATCCCACAAGGCTGACTATATGGTTTGAGTCTTGGACCCAGCAGCTTGAGAAACATGGGGGGGTGGAGGAACAGGTGGCATGGTGGTTAAAGGCACTGGACTCCCACATGGCAGACTACAGTTCGAGTCCTAGACCTGGTGCCTTGCTTTTTCACATTCCCACTCTCTGTCTTATTGAACTAGAAAATAATAATAATAATAATAAAGTTTTAAAAATTGTTACAAAAGAAAGAAACATGCCAGGTATATCCCCAAGATCCCAAAGGGGATAGAGAGATAAAGAAGGGATTGTAGGGGGCCAGCAGGTGGCGTGGTGGTTAAGGGCACTGGACTCCCACATGGCCAACTGTAGTTCGAATCTCACACCTGGCGGCTTGCCTTCTCACTTTCCCTCTCTCTCTTACTCTGTCCCTCTCTGGACAAATTAAAATAAATAAAGTTAAATAAAATAACTCTTAAAAAACAAACAAACAAAAAAGAAGCGCTTATAGTGATCATGCTCCATGGGGAGTGCTTTCTCATTGTCCCTTATCTCTGTTCAGGGCACATGCTCTCTGACAGAGAGCAAGTACTCATCCCCTGGGGAGATGACCATGCCATAATCCCTTCTCCTCTACTCTCCTCTTGGGATCTTGGGCATTCACGCACACATGCCCAGCATAAGTTATTATTATTATTTTTTTAAAGAATGATTTTATTTAACTTTATTTATTTATTTTATTTAATTTGATCAGAGAGGGACAGGGTGAAAGAGAGAGAGGTAAAGTGTTTCAGAAAGCAAGCTGCCAGGTCTGGGACTCAAACTGTAGTAGGCCACTTGGGAGTCCAGGACCCTTAACCATTATGCTATCTGCCAGCCCCACCAGCATGAGGTTTTTTTTTTTTTTCTTTCAAATAATTATTTTATTTAAGTTTTATTTATTTATTTTAATTTGACTAGAGTAGGACAGAGTGAGAGAGAGAGAAAGAAGGAAAGTGAGAAAGCAAGCTGCCAGGTCCAGGACTCAATCCGCGGTTGGCCACGTGGGAGTCTAGTGCTCTTAACCACCATGCTACCTGCCAGCCCCTCCAGCGAGAGTTTTAAGCTGCCAGGTCCGGGACTCAAACTGGAGTTAACTACATGGGAGTTCAGCAATGTAATCATGACGCCACTTACTAGTCCCAACAAAAAAATTTTTAAAGAATTATTTTTTATTTAATTTTATTTATTCATTCATTTAATTTGACCAGAGAGAGAGACAGAGAAAGAGAGAGAGAAGCGAGAAAGCAAGCCGACAGGTCCAGGACTTGAATCATGTTCAGCCATGTGGGAGTGTCTATCACCTTAACCACCACGCCACCTGCTGGTCACTCTCAAAACATTTTCAAATTATTTAATTTATTATTATTATTTATTTGATCAGAGAGAGAGAGAGAGAGAGCGAGGGAAAACAATAAAGCAAGCCACCAGGTCTGGGACTTGAACTGTAGTCAGCCATGTGAGAATCTAGCACCTCAACCACCATGCCACCTGCTGGCCTCAATTTTCTTTTCATTCTTTCTTTCTTCTTCTTCTTTTTTTTTTAAACATTTGCTATAGGGCATATATGTTCATTGGAGAGAGAGAGGGGGGCCAGTAGGTGGCATGGTGGGTGGTTAAGGGCACTGGACTCCCACATGGCCAACTGCAGTTCAACCTGGTGACTTACTTTCTCACTTTCTGTCTCTCTCTCTCACTCTGTACTTCTCTGGTCAAATTAAAATGATAAATAAATAGGATCCAGCAGGTGGCATGGTAGCTAAGAGCACTGGATTCTTATGTGGTTGACTACAGTTCAAGTCCTGGACCTGGCAGCCTGCTTTCTCCCTTTCCCTTTCTCTTTCTCTTTCTGTTCAAATTAATAATAACAACAACAACAACAACAAATGGAATTAAATAAATAATTCTTTAAAATAAATAAATAAATAAATAAAAGTTAAATAATTCTAAAAAAGAGAAAGGAATTAAGCATAAAGCAGCCCCCCCAGAGGGATGGCCACACCACAATCCCTGCTCCTTTATTCTCCTCTTAGGATTTTGGACACACACACACAAGCTTGATGCTTTTTTTTTTTTTGAGAGGTTTATTTTTGGCTATAGGGCACGTGCGCTCACCAGAAAGACAGAGAGTGACAGAGAGACAGAAAGCAAGAAATCACCCCCCAGGGGGGATGGCCACGCTGCAATCCCTTCTCCTCCATTCTCCATTCTTCTCTTGGGATCTTGGGCACGCGCGCACATGTGCCCGGCATGAGTTTAACCTAACTGGTACAGGACTCAAACCTTGGTCGGCTACATGGGAGTCCAGCGACATAGCCATTATGCCAACTGCTGGTCCCAAGCTTGATGTGTTTTTAAACCACCAGGTCCAGGACTCAAACCACTCAGTTGGTTTTGTGGGATCATTGCCTTAACGACCATGCCACTAGCTGGCCCTTCTCAAATTTTTTTTTAAGAATTATTTTATTAACCTTATTTATTTTATTTTAATTTGACCAGACAGGGACAGAGTGAAAAAGAGAAAGAGAGATGGACAGTGAGAAAGCCAACCGTCAGGTATGGGACTTCAAATACGGTTGACCATGTGGCAGTCAGCATCCTTAACCAACATGCCACCTGCCGGCTCCTTTTAATTTTTTTTTTTTATTAAAGTGAGAAATCACCTCTGGGAGAATGGCCACATTGCAGTTCTTTTTCCTCCGTTCTCCTCTCAAGATTTTGGGGCATGCATACACATACGCCCATTGTGCTTTTCGAGCCACTGGGCCCAAGACTTGAACCATAGAGTTGGTCATGTGGGATCTAACACCTTAACCAATATACCACCTGCCAGCCCACCTCTCAATTTTTTTAGATTTTAAAATTTTTATTTTTAAAAATTTGCCAGAGAGTGCACGAGCCTTCTAGAGAGAACAGAAAGAGAAGGAGAGGGAGAAAAATGACCCCAATGGGGAGAGATCATGCCACAGTTCCCTCTCTTCCATTTCTCCATCCTGTCATAATCTTGGACATGCAGGCACTCATTCCTAGTGTTTTTCAAGTCATCAGGACCAGGATTTGAACTGCATAGTCAGGAATGTGGAATCTAGCTCCCCTAACCACTAGGCCACGGGGCTGGTCTAACTATTTTCTTCCTTACTCTCCTTTCTCTTCTAAAACTATTTTTATGGGGCCAGCAGGTGGTGTGGTGGTTAAGGGCACTGGACTCCCAAGTGGTCGAATGTGGTTCAAGACTCAGACCTGGCGGCTTGTTGTTTCACTGTCTATCTTGCTCTCTGTCCTTCTCTGATTGAATTAGAAAAATAAACAGGGGCCAACAGGTGGTGTGATGGTTAAGGGTGCTAGACTCCCATATGGCAGACCACAGTTTGAGTCCTGGACCTGGCAGCTTGCTTTCTCACTTTCTCTGTCTCTCACTCTGTCCCTCTCTAGTCAAATTAAAATAAATAAATAAAGTTAAAAATAAAAATGTCATGGGAGGGAACCAGCAGTTAGTGTAATGGCTATGTCGCTGGACTCCCAGGTAGTTGACCGCGGTTCACGTCCCAGACCCGGTGGCTTAAAACTCACGCCGGGTGCATGTGCGTGCGTGCCCAAGATCCTGAGAGGAGAATGGAGGAGAAGGGATTGCGGCGTGGCCATTCCCCCCCTGG